CCCGACCCCCCCCCCCTCCGCCGTGGCGGCCAAGCTCCCCTGCGCCGGGGGCTTTGCAACGCGTGGCACCGACCGCTGCCTTGTTGATGGCAATCTCTCTAATGTACCCACAGTGGCTTATCTGCGCCACGCGAGAGACGTCGTTCGGTTATCTATACCTCTGTATTTCGGGCTGCTCGCGGCCGTGGCGCTCTGGTTGGAGGCTCCCGAATGCTACACTGAACGCCGCTGAGCTCCCCGGCTCTGCTCATGATGTGGGCTATTCATTATGTGTTGAGCCTGTCTTGGCTATTTCGCAGCTCCGGGCTGAGTTTTCCCCCTTGCTCCTTTGTGCTTGCGCTTCCCCTTCCCTGAGGTTCTTTATGGAGACCTGCAGAGCTGCAGGTCTGGCAGAGCAAGTCCTAAACAGCGCGTGGCGGTCTGTATGCAGGCTCCCTCTCGCCAAGCAGGTGGATTCAAGCTCTGGTTCCATCTCCCCAGCTCGCACCGGGTTAATTCATCATCCTCAGCTGATGAGCAAGGATTACGCTTTTGCCTACTCCGTGGCTGTTCCATTTCTGGCCTGTGTTATATTATCAGTATTAATAACAATAATGATGGGTGCTGGCTGTGCTAGTTTTCTAGCTCCTGAGGAGATGAGAGCTCGCCCATTAATTCCTGCAATATTTCAGCTCCTAATTGTGCTCAAGCAGAGACAGCCTTGAAAAGTTCCCACCATCAGTTCAGGCAGAGCAGGGCTGGTACCCCTGGGGGAGCTCCTGGAGCCGTGGGGCCCTGGGCCAGCCCTGCCCCGAGCATCCCCGATCTCCAGGTGCTTTCGGAGGCAGGGACCGCGGCAGTTGGGTGCCCATTGCATTGCTCTAGCTCCAGCCTCGGGCGAGCGGTGAGAGCAATCCCAAAGGGCCTGATATATGTGAGACTGATTGGACAAATAACCCCCATCCAAAACCTGGGCTGGGGCTTGCCTTGCTCCTAAGCCCGGGGAGCTGAGCTTCACCCAAAGCAGCATCTGTGTCCCCGTGCAACCCAGCGAGCAGATAAATGTCCCTCCCGCGCCCCGCCAGCCCAGAGGGGACCCCCAGCAGCCACGGTGACATGGGCACCCTGTGGCTTTCTATAAAGCAAGCTCTGCACTTACAGATTGTGTTTGCTTAACCCCAGCCCTGCTCCCTCAGTCCCATCTATTTGTTTTTCCATTCCTGGCAGTCATTAATGAATGAGATTTGTCCAACTATCAACGAGACTTCCCATTATAAATAGGCAAAAATGCAGAGGCCAGGGAGCCAAGCAGTTCGACAATTACTCTCGGTCCGTGCCTTCGCCCCTCGGCCAGCACGGGCGCCGGCGTGATCCGGCAGCACAGGCAGCAGCGAAGTGGCTTTACAGACCCGGTTTTCCTGCAAAGCCCCTTGTGCAGGAGGGGATGGGGGATGCGGTGGGTGTCCCAGTCGCCTGGCGTCACCCACTTCGCCGGCGTGAAGTGTGGTGCCCTTGGGGCGGGGATCCCTCATGTCACCTTATTTCTTGAGGTGTGGTAGCTGGCAGTAACGAGGCAGGATCTGGCCAGGGCCTCTAGCAGGGACGGTCTTCCTAATGCTATCGTCATCGTTATCTGAGCATGAGTAATACCAGATAGTGCTCAGGGCAAAAGCAGGCGTCAGCTCCGGCACAAAGCATCCCATTCCGGTCCGGGGCAGGCTCTGTGCGTCAGGGTCAATGGGCTGTAGCCAAAATCCAGCGGGTGCCAATGCAAGGCATGCCAGACCCTGAAACCCTGAACCCTTTGCGCTCTGCTTCTCCGTCTGCCGATTACCATGCACGTATCTCAGACTTCAGTGCTACGCCGGCACAGAGGAAGCCTTCATCTCTCAATTTCCCAAGCTTTTGCAGGTGGAAAGCTGACCCTCGCAGTTACTTTAATGAAGTCTTTTGCTGGGTAACGAAACACACTCGAGCTGCTTTGCTCCCAGATCAAACCGGGGATGCACGCTACGGCTCAGCTACGGCGAGAGCTAATTCTTGCCGCGTGCGAGCCAGCTCCGGTGCGCTCGGGGAAGAGTCTTTCGTTAGTTAGGAAGAGGAGTGTTATCTGAGCCTTTGCACAAACCAGAGTCAGATTTGCACGCGGAGCATCTGAAGGCCACCGGCTGTGTCTTTATTTTATCAGCAGGCAGCGCTGTGCTACAGAGAAGCCGATTCTAGGTCAGCCATAAAAGGGATTTTTATTTTTTCCCGTCTCCTTTTTTTGCAGCGCATAGTGCTGCAGGCCCACTGGATGTAACGCTGCAAATTGTGTGTCTCCAAAGGATATTGATTTTGGGGTAACGCCTTCATATCTTGCCCTTCAGTTGCGCTAAGTACTGATGAGCTCAGCAGTTTTGACTGTGAGCCTCTCGGGTGGGAATTTCAGCGCGGGGCTGAAGGCGCGGGTGGACGTCAGCAATTCATCACGGCGGGTTGCACGGGAAAGCTCACTTCAGCCCTTTCCGAAGCTCGCAGGGCAGTGCGGGGCTGCCTTCCCGGTTGGGTCAGCCTGGGCTGGTGGGATGGACGCGTGTGTGCGCGCAGGATCCTCGGTTCGGCTGCCGGGTGCGTGAGGGAGCAGCGGACGTGCAAAGTCCCGGGGCCACCGTGTGGAGGTGGCTGCCACGAGGTCTGGTGCAGGGGAGAGCCAAGGTGCGATTTCATTACGGCTGAGCATATTTGCACTAGTTTGAGCTGACAATAGCGGCACCTGGGATTGCAGCGGCAGGATCCGAGCGGGTGCCCAGGGAGCTCGCCGTGTCGAGCCGTGTGGGGGCGTTACAGAAATTGCATCAGTGCTGGCGCGGGGCCCTGTGTGCGAACCCCAGCGTACGTGTGCTTTCAAGACGGCTGCCTTGGTGGGCGGTGGCGTGTGACCGTGCTCACTATTTATGTACCGCGGGAAGAGATGCTGTAAAAGTATCAGCTGGTGGGATGCAGACGGTGTGTGCCCCGACGGGACCCTCCCACGCGTACACTTTGCATGCATTTGTTAGGAGCAAGATGCATACAGTTGACCGGTCAAGCATAGCGAGCCGTGGCCCATCAGGTCACGCTAGCGCAGAGACTGCGGTAGCCCGGATGGGAAGCGAGGGTGAGCACGGGATCGCCCGGCTCCGCCGGCCAAGATTGCCGCACCCCCTGGGGACCGGGGACCTGCGCTCGGCCTCTCTGCCATTGGCACTCGCTCCCAGAAACAGCTGTCCAGAGCTAATTTATTTCCTAATGCTGCAGCAATGTTAATTTATAAATTACACTGGTAATTCGAGCTATTATTAATTTCAGATGGTGTAGGGCAAGCCTAATTAAAATATGACACCAATTGCCACACATATGTACCAAGGACTACCGTTTAAAATTTATAGGAATATTAAGTGTGACACTGGTCTCGGAGATGCTTTGCACAGTAATTACAGCATCTCAGCTGCGGGAGATCCAATGGGGAGATGTAAACGAAAGGAAAGGAGAAGTTGTCCCCGTCTGGGGACTGTCGAAAACCCGCTTGTGCCCTTCGTTCAGGGGCTAGCTGCATTTCTCCGGGACATTTAGTGGACGTGTTCTAATTGCCGGGTTTCTTTATTTAACTCTGCATTTGTTGCAACGCCGCGATCTCTGTCAACCTGGAGACTATCGCGGCCCAAAACCTGCGCCTCACCAGCCGAGCGCCGCGGGTTTCCAGGAGCACTTCAAAGCGAAGCGGGCTCTTGGAAGGAAGGGGGGGGCCGTAAGATGCCAGACAAAAGGAAAGGCCGCCGATCGCATCTGCCCGACTTTGAGCGAAACCGGGAGCTGTGGTGCAGCCCGAGCAGGGGAGAGGGGGGCGAGCACGGCCCCCCACGGGTACCGCAGAAATGAGCCTGGAGGGGCACAGGGACAAAGCGTTTCAGCTGAAGGGAGCTGTTGGCACCACGACTGATGGGAATAAACTGGCTGTGAATTAATTGAAGCTGAAAAATTAGAGAGGGGTGTCTATGCAGAGAGCAGGACGGGCCCAGCAGTCTCTCTCAGCAGAAGGGTGGGATGGGATGCGCCAATGCCAAGGAGAGATGATTTAAGGTCATTCTAGCAGGGTGCAGGTTTGGCGAGGAGCACCGTGCACACGTTGGGCACGTTATCTCCAGCAAGTGATGCTCTGTGGGGCCAGGGCCAACACAGAGGTCCAGCGCTCGCAGGCACCTTTCCAACGGGGGTTTTCTTGGGGTGGAGGGGTGGTGGGGCACAGGCGTGTGGGCATGCTGGGAGCTGGGACTTGGGAGGTGGATCCTGTGGCAGTGTGACATGGTCACAGACGGTGACTGGCCTGGTGGTCAGGGGCTTGCCGTTCCTCCCCGCCGCTCACGGCCCTCTCCCTCTGCCCCTGCAGCCGTGGGCTTCATCAGCGAGGACGAGTACCTGGAGATCACGGGCATCACACGGGAGCAGTCGGGGGAGTACGAGTGCAGCGCCTCCAATGACGTGGCAGCGCCCGTCGTCCAGCGAGTCAAAGTCACCGTCAACTGTGAGTAGCCTGGGGGCTGTTGGGGACCGGGGATGGAGCGGGTCACGTGCTGCCCCACGAGGGGATGGGACTTGGGCAGTGGGAAGCGGGGCGAACCCATCCTGTGGGCCCCAGAGCCGAGACAGGCAGCGGCAGTTTTCTGAGCAGGTGGTGTTTTGCCCTTTTTTCCCCTTATTTTCAAGCTCCGTTTTTTTCCACCACCTCCTCCTCAGCTGTCTCCATCAACCTGGGTTTTCCGCCCATGGTGAGATGCTGTGCTGATAACCTCCAGGGAGAGGAGAGAAGTGAGCAGTAAATAGGAATTTTTTTCCTTTAGAAAAAATGCGAGAGAGAAAGAAAAAGAGTGAGGAAGAAAGCAGCACCGTTTGTGCTCAGAGACAGGTGAAAACCCTCCTAAACTCCTCTCTGGCCACCCCTTCAGCTGCATGGGGTTGGCACAGGGTCGCACATGGTTCCCGAGAGTCGTGGGGCTCTGATCCTTGGAGAAGCCTGCGCTAGGCTGCGGCGTGGGGTCTCCATCTGCCCAAAGCCCCCTGGGTAGTGGCACCAGAGTGGCAGGAGCTAGGCATGGGCTCAGAGATGATTTTGACTCCTTCCTAAATGCGGGGAAAGAAAAGGGAGCTTGAGGAGCAAGGGGAGGGGGTGGGAGTCCCGGGGCTGCCAGGCTTCCATCTGA